GTCGACATTTGTTAAACTTCTCCCGTACCGTCTCTTCGAATTCCTTTCTTGATTCATAAACTCTCTTGTAAACCTCGTTGTTTACCATACCGCGAAAAAATCTAAAACCGATAGTTCAGGTGATTGAGGAGGCCCATGTAATTGGTCCATCTCTTTCTATTCCTGAGTTTGCATAATTATGATATAAATAATGTTTAACGTTTACAATTTGGTTGCATCTCGATAAAATATGTTTCTTTGGATGTGAGAGTATTGGCTATAACTCGTAAGCTATAGTTTGGATGTGAGAGTATTGGCTATAACTCGTAGTAATTTTACGAAAAAAAAAATTTATAGCTTATATCGCTGAAGAGCTTAAAAGATGGTGCAATTTATGTCATGACCAATTATGGTTTCCTTTTAAAAAAACATATGTTTATGTTATATGTCAAAAATGACAGGCTTTAGAAAACAAAGGAGAACACAATCTCATTAAGGATGTGATTATCTACAACTTTTATTTAAAAACTTTTTGTCCATAATAGATTATAATGGAATTAGGAACCATTTTTAAAATAGCCGACATATGTTTTTTTACCAAATATCTAGTAAGCGTAAGCCATATGCGAAAGGCCGCATATGTTTGCCTTCACAAAACTGCAATTCTTTTCCCATTTCTGTGCCCGACTCTCTAGCTCCAGTATTTTTCGGAGATTATCCATAGAGAACATCGTAAAAAACTGTACCCTGTATACCGGGTGCGTCTCAAAAGTGTGGCTCACCCTTATAACTTTTTTATTTTTTCAGACAAAAAAACGATATTTGTTATGTTAGTATATATGACATAAATTAGGATTGAATGACGTATTCAATTGTTTTTGGTCACTTCCTGTTTCACCGGAAATGACTACAACTTTTTTTTAAATAGCAACCTCGGTATTTTTTACTTTATTCGATAGAAAATGACATTCTGAATAGAATAACATATTATATGTCAACTTTTGACATTTTCGCTTATTTTCGCGTATTTTAAATTTCAATCTAGAGTACCATGGCTATGTTAAAAACACTAATTCTTAATCAAGGAGCCTTGGAAAAATAGATTTGATCGTCTAATGTTTTTAGTGTCTTGTCCTGGCCAGTTAGAAAATGCTCCAATCGTATTTTTAATCATATCTCAATTTTTTTCAAATGGAAAGAGGGTGGCTCATTAGCATATTTGGAAAAAGCAATTTTTTACGAATAATTTGATACCACACACTTGGTATATCGAGTCAAATTTTCGTTACGAACCGCAAGTTATAATTTCAAATAAACCATATGCGAAAATGTCAAAAGTTGACATATGATATGTCATTATATTCAGAATGATATTTTTTATCGAATAAAGTAAAAAAATACCGAAAGTACCGTTTAAAAATCAAAAGTTGTAGTCATTTCCGGTGAAACAGGAAGTGACAGAAACAATTGAATACGTCAATCAATCCTAATTTATGTCATATACGAACATACCAAATTTCGTTTTTTTATCTGAAAAAATAAAAAAGTTATAGGGGTGAACCACTTTTGAGACGCACCCGGTATATTATATGCTGAAAATTTATAAAGATACAAATAATATAATATAATAATATAAATATTTTATTTGTATACGTTAATGAAATTTTAAAAGATTTTCTAAAAATGTTTAATGCATGGTCTTTTGTTTATAGTAAAGTATAAAAGCACAACAGAAAGTCTTAAGGATACAAATTTAATGAATTTAAGCTTTAAGTAGATTACATTTTGGCTTTTGTTAATATTAATATAAAGACATGTATCTACATATTTCAAAATATTTTAATAAATAAATTTTATGAAATAAATTTTTGTTTATTTTTATTTTAAGCTTCTGTGGAATGTGATACTTCCCTGATAAATGCTGGTATAATGTGTGATATTTTGATATGATATTTTTAGTGTAAAAATATGTCATCATCATGTAGCCATCGTTGTCCACTGCTGAACGTAGGCCTCCTCCATATTTCTCCATGTCTCTCGATTTTGGGCCGTCATCATCCAATTTCCAGCAATCCTCTTTACATCATCGGTCCAGCGTGTCGGTGGTCTGCCTCTGCTACGTTTATCTGCTCGAGGTCGCCATTCTAACAATCTTCTAGTCCACCTGTCTTTAGATGTTCTCGCCACATACCTGCCCATCTCCATTTCATTCGAGTTACGTGTTCCACTATGTCTTTAATTTTGGTTTTTTGTCTGATAGTGTTATTAGGAATTTTGTCTCTTTTAGTTATTCCAAGCATGGCTCTCTCCATGGCTCTCTGGGCTACTCTTAAACTTTCTGCTGACTTTTTCGTTAATGTTAGAGTTTCCGCTCCATATGTAATTACCGGCAAGACGCATTGTTCATAAACTTTCCTCTTCAAGCATATAGGTATATCACTTTTAAAGGTCTCCCGCAGTTTGCCAAAAGCAGCCTAACCCAAACCTATTCTGCGCTGTATCTCGTGTGTTTGGTTGTTCTTTCCGATTTGTATTTCGTGCCCGAGATATTTGTATATATGTGTTTCTTTTATGTCGGCGTCACTTATTCTGATGTTCTGTGTCAGCACTAAGTTTGTCATTATTTGCGTTTTACTCGTATTTAAACGGAGACCGACTTTTAATGAGGCCTGCACTAATTCTTCGAGCATCTGCTTTGAATCTCCGATGTTATCTGAGACAAGGACGATGTCATCTGCGAATCTGAGGTGTGTCAACCTTTCACCATCGATATTTATGCCCCTATTCTCCCAAGAGAGTGATTTCATTGCGTATTCAAGGACAGCTGTAAAAAGTTTAGGCGAAATAGTATCCCCTTGTCGAACTCCTCTGCCTCCTCAATTTTATCTGTTGTGTCGTGAAGTTTTACAGTTGTGGTGGCATTACTATATATGTATTCTATAATTATATATAATATATAATATATTGTTCGAAAAATCCAAGGGTCAAATTGAATTACCTTATAAATGATGATCGATGATATTTTATATGTAAAATTATATGGTAGATATAATATATAGACAAAAACTAATATCGGTGTCTGGAGCTCAATTTTTGTCAAAAACATGATGGTAAAAACCGCATATTGATATCTGTTACCGTTTCGGAGTTACGGGGTGTTTTCCAAAAATATGCATTTTTAACAAATCGCTGTAACGTTTTTGCTATGGAAAATTTTGTATTTTTATGAAAACATTTCCAAAGCACCTTTTTACGTAGAATTTAATGGTTTAAGTATAATTTTTTTAAAATTAATAATTTAAGAATTATCAACAGAAAATTTGATTTTTTATATGGGACACCCTGTATATTTTTAATTTATTGAAAATAATTTAAAATTACCTTTCCAAAAATATAACACACTTGATATTTTGCTCGATTCCTCTTCGAGATTATAGAGTATACATATAAAAATTCGCCCGCTTTAAATAAGTAGGCTTTGAACGGCACCGGCTGTAATGCAAAAAAATTCTAGCTGTGAGCATCAATTAAAACGAATATAATATTTGCTATGAGGGATGCAGAATTTTATAACAATTTAAAATATATTTAACCAACATCAACACATTTAAACTATTTATATCTAATAACAATAAAAATAAATAGGAAACCAAGACATGAGATTTTGCTACAGGTGTTCGACATATCGACCGTCTTCTGTTATGAACAGACGGGGCAGTTTTTGAACATTTCCTGCGGAATTCATTAACTCAGTGGGGGTGAAAGATACCCTCTCATAACTGCTGAGTATTTCTAATTCTTGTCTAGATTATACGGAAGAATAAGGAACCTTTATTCTTCCGCAAATATAGCCATAGGATTAGATCCATGGGCACTAAGTCAGGCGGCGTCGACGACCAACGGCTGGGATCTTGGTTAGCTATTCAATTATTTTTTGAAAAAAATTGGCTGCAAAAATTTGCTGGTAACTTCAGCGTTCGGAGGCGGTGCGTCGTCTTGCTAAAAAAATATGTTTTCGAGTTCCATTTAGGGCATATCATCAATAAAGGGTCGAAAATATAGAGGGTGTCCCAAATAAAAATCAATTTTTCTGTTGATAACTTTTAAATTATTAATTTAAAAAAAAATTATACTTAAACCATTAAATTCTACGTAAAAAGTTGCTTTGGAAATGTTTTTTTATAGAAATACAAAATTTTCCATAGCAAAAAAGTTACAGCGATTTGTTAAAAATGCACATTTGTGAAAAACACCCCGTAACTCCGAAACGGTAACAGATATTGATATGCGGTTTCCACCATCATGTTTTTGATGAAAATTGAGCTCCAGACACCAATATTAGTTTTCGTCTATCTCCTATAGAAAATGGTGTTTTCATTTAAAAGCGTCGAATTCGACCCACCCTGTACATCAGGATTTTCAGAGATAGGTATTTAGTGCGATACCTGCATAGGATTACCTATTGGAACACTAAATATAGGAGTTGTAAGGATTTACATGAAAATTAAGAAAAATACAATTAGAAATAAGTTAAGAAAAAATTATAACTTCCCATTTTTTAATAGAGCACTACCCAGAGCACCACGTATATTTCATATTGAAGTTCAACCCATATACTTTTTTCTATATTTTATGATAGAATTAGGTATCTTTCATATCAAAATACTTTTAACTGTCAAATGTCTTTATTTTATTAAACCCTTCATATGCAGCATGTTTCAAACTGGTGAATACCGTTATAATGCCTGAACTAAATGGTTGTTGTTGATGTTTGTAGGTAGGACCTTATAAAAATCGTGAACATAATAAACTTTCTGTGTTCCAGGAGAAAATCTACTAAAACCAACTCAACCCTACCCAAGTACGAATCTATATTCGAGCCCATATCCTGCGCCACGTGCGACCAGGCATTTCAAAATAATTATTTTCTAGCTCTCCATTCCAAAACTCACGATTTCGAAAACAAATATTCCTGTCACCTTTGTCACAATTTTAGAAACCCTTCTCGTCATCATATCGAAATGCATTTAAGACTTCACGAAAACAGAGCCTACCAATGCCGAATTTGCGATAAGAATTTCCGCAGTAGTACTCTAGCAACCGATCATGAAAAATTTCACAGAAATCAGACGAGCAAACAATGCGAGATATGCGGAAAAGCTTTCTTCACTGCGGCTTCTCTTAATCAGCACCAGAGGGAGATTCATTTTAATGACGTTGACAGGCACGACTGTAAACTCTGTGGCAAGCATTACGGAAGCGCGGGAGGTTTGAAATGGCATAATTTACACCATCACAACGATTCCAGAGAAGATCTGTATGTTTCGTGCGATATTTGTGGTAAGAGGATTCACAGGGACAGAATAAGATCTCACGAAAAACTCCATAAAGGTGTCAAACCGTACATTTGTGAGATATGCGACAGAAAATACACGGATAAGAAAAGATTGAGAGAACATATGAATCTGACACATAAAAAGACAGGGGAGCAAGGATTTGTTTGCAGAGAATGTGGTTCCAGTTTTGATAATTGGACTTCTCTCAAAGATCACGAGATGGAACATACATCAAAATTGGACTTTATGTAATTTATAATAAAGACTAGTGAATAAGGAACCAAACATAAATAATTAGTGGACTGTAGTATCTAACATTTCTATTGCAGTTAAGGGTTGTAACTTTTGATTGTTAACAACAGCAAAACAAAACACTAATTCATCAGCAAATGATTAAAATTAGTTTTAATCATCTGCTGATGATGCTAACTAGTGATGAAAAACCGATGAATTTTAATAATCGAGTACTCGAGTTTCAAGCAATTTCAATAATCGAGCGATCACTCGAGCGAAATTTCGCTCGTATCTAAATATACGGTTTCTGCAATGTAGCAAATTCGTACGACAGGATCGCTTGCGTTCGTCACTCGTTCATAATCGAGCGATGTCGGTTATTTCAATAATCGAGTACTCGAGCAAATTTTCGCTCGAGTTATCCCATCACTAATGCTAACCTGGCTAGCGAAACGCGCATCCATTGCAAAAGTAAAGTATTTTGGTGTATTGTGGTGAATTAGTGTTTTGTTTTGCTAACATTTCTATATTAATAATAAATGTTACATTTATTCTAATTGTAAAACCTGAATACTATATGGTTAAGCTCACCAGAATATAATATACATCCATTAAATGTTGTTATGTCTTGATCGTAATCTTCTATTTATCATAAAAGAGACTTTTTACAGATATATTTCAAAATATACAGGAAGTCCTATTTTCACTACCCTTGTCGGGTAACTCTGTTGAGAAACGGTTTTCATGATCGTTGGGTACATTTTAGCAGTTTATTTTTTAACCAAAGTTCATTGATGTCTGTATTGTTAAATGTATACCTAGTAACAATCAACCTTATTGTAATATATCTACTAAATGGTTTATAATTCTTAAGATATAATAAAAGATATCCATAGACATTCATATTATACTATTGTATAAGAATACAGAGTAATCTGGTAAGAGTATACGTGTTCTGTATTTTGTGATTGTAATTTTTAGTCATGTACCTACTAGTTTAGTAGCAATGTGCTAGTCATAGTAGCGATCTTTTTTGTAGGTTGTACCTGGAAATTCATTCAATTTCTCCTTTTTATTCTACAAAGACCCTGTTACCTATATTTCCGTAAAATATAATAAATATATATGCGATTCTGAAATTCAGTACTTAATGTTATGCATGATTTCATATTATTGAATTAAATTAGTAGTTTATATATTATATAAAATAACAATCTTATATACAAAATTAACGTTAACTAATCTAAAAAATGATACACAAATTAAAATTGAAAATTTATCACAGGCCTTAATAAGTTTAATACAATTTAGTAATTTTCCATTAAATAAATCTAGAATATTGTAATAGATAACGTAAACCTGGCTGTATGAAATTTGAACAATTAAATACAAGAATTATTGTTAATATTTGCAGGTATATTTACAGTGTGTCCTCGGAAGGACCTAACCGTACTTTCGAACTGAGGTGAGTAAAGTTTCTAATTTCGCATTTTAGCAAAAAAAGAATTCTATACGCATAAAACAGAAACTAGATTCAAAAGTTTTAAATAACATACAAGATGGGTAAATATCCAGCAAAAGTTAAATCAACTTAAGGATAAAGTACATTTCATACAAAAGATATAAAACAAAGATACTTAATATCTGGTATGCTGTTATAATCCCGTCCTCATTTTAATTAAATTTGTAATATTAGTTTAGGAAGGTCTCCCAATAAAATCCTTTAAAGGCTTTTAAAACCTTTTTTTATATTTCTAAATGATAACTTTTGTACCAGAACTCTCTTTGCTCTTTCACTTCACACTTTACTCTTTGTTCTTGAACTCTCTTTGCACTCTTTACCTTTTTTTTACTCTTCGATACGTTCTTATTTTTCACAGTTTCCCTCAGGGTAGCCATTGTAATTTATTCATTATAATTAAAGTTAAGTTATATTAAAAACAATAGTGCACATTAATTTTACACCCGAAAAGACTCTCAATAAGTTGGCCCTACAGAACAGGACCACAACAAAAATTGGCGCAGCGAACAGGATTCGGGATAGTTCAGGACAAGAACAAGACACAAAAAGTGCACACTGCATGTGTAGCATTAATAGATGACGTTGTGTTTTGTTTTTGTTCATCAAACTATACGCTTTACTTAAATTCATGTTTTTAATAGGTACCTACTTTAGTAAATAGATTTAAAAAATAGCGTTGAAAATTGATATCAAAACATTTTCCCGAAACTTTTTAAACATTATTTCACATTGCATGAACTATATTCTCGAGCTCGAGTAGAGCCGTTTTCTTGTTTTTTTTAATGCACCTTGTATATTTTTTCGAAAATTTTATGAAATTTTCCTATGGAATGTACAGAATGAGTAATTTTTTTCTACAAATACAGAGTCATTGGCGTAACTACAGGGGTGACCGGGGGTGCCGCCCCCCCCCAGTTACTGCTGTGCACCCCCCAGAGAAATCCTGAATTATGACTCTTGGCTACGTACTAATTTTTATTTGCTTCTGGTGCAGTAAAAATGACGTTTTCTAGTTTTGTTTAGTTAATATTATTTTGTTGTGTTCAAAAAATGTGTTAATTTTTTTTTTAAATTTGTAGGTATTTAAGTAATCTACGGGAACACGGTTTGATAACCACGTCTATGAAATTTATTGATAGATAAATTCATGTAAACGTTTTATTCAAAAAATGCGTTTTTAAAATTATTTTTCATTTTCAAAAAAACAAAAGCCCTAGGCCCCCCCTGGGCTCAGCCACAGCCCCCCCCCCTCTAATCTAATTCTCAATCTATTGAAGAAATATATATACAGGGTGTTCCATTTAAAAAAAAATGAAGAAAAATTATTTTACATTTTAGAAAATTGGGCGTAGAATTTTGAACGTCCTGTATGATTTACGATTACCATATTTATAGCAAAGTAAATACAGATCATATAAAGTATAAATAAAAGTATAGAAGATAAGAGTATAGAGAAGTATAAATATAGTATAAAAAAATATTTTTAATAATTTTTTACAAGATAAGCTGAAAAAGTTATATTTTTTGTTTATTTTTTAATATCTCTGAAACTATCGAAATATATTTACTCATATCTTAGGATTATGTAAGGTGACTTGAAAGGAAGCTCGAAATTCAATAATATACAGAGTGTTCCATTTAAAAAAAATAATCCCGATCCACTCACACTTTTTTGAGCCACCCTATAGAAGTTAGTATTTTCCTGAAATACATTCCAGAACATACCTTAGGTTTGAACTTAAACAAAATTCCCAATTTTTTCTCATTCTAGAAGCTAGAATATGGTCCGTCTGAGGATACACTACTGCATATTTAATGTTTAATGTATATGGGTGTCCCAAATTCACACGTCATCGTTGGGCTTTCGAAAACTAGAAGATATTAGACAAAAAAAATTAAAAAAATCTTTGGAAGTATTCAGAATTTTTAAACCTTTAAAGTGGCATTTTGATCCAATGATGAGACTCAAATATGGGGCACCCTGTACATTTCTATTTATTAATTGTAATCGGTGTCTGTAATATTAAAATAAATGTTTTCTGGTAAGTAATATAAAAGTTAGAACTTTATTTTATGTTTCATTTATTTGCCTACTATACATGATACACTTTAATGCTGACTTTTATTAACAAATGTATTGATTCATTATTGATTGAGATTGTATTATTGATTGAAATATCAGGTAAGTATATTAGTTTGGAAGTGTACGATTTCAGAATGTATACTAACAATTCTCCGTTTTAGAGTGGAAGATGTAAAACCAGAGATTAAAATAAAAGAGGAAGAAGGAGTAGTCGAAATAAAAGAGGTAGAACGCCCGAAAAAAAGGATCAAGAAAGCAGGAACGCGTAACAAAATTGTTAAAGTGGGTATCAAAAAAATAGCCGGCCCAGGAAAAGGGAAACGCGTGAGAGTACCTAAAGGCGAACGACCTCTCAAAGTAAAAGTAAAAAAGGAGATAATGCGCAAGGCCCATCCTCCTCCAGTAGAACTGGACGAGCCGATCGAATGTGACATATGCAACTCCACGTACAAAAACAACGTGGCTTTTGCCCTGCATACCATTCGCCACTCCGAAGACAACAAGTACTCTTGTCATTTGTGCACGTACAAAAATATTTCCAAGTATCACATTGAAATGCACGTTCGCGCTCACGAGGGTACTACCAAGTATAAATGCGAGATCTGTCAGAAAGCGTTTACCGTCAGTACCCACGCCACAGAGCATAAATTTTTCCATACCGGCGAGAAGCCGTTCCAGTGCGAAATCTGCGGTAAGCATTTTATGTTTTCTCGGTTCCTAGCTGCTCACCGACGCTCGCAACACTACGAAATCCTCACGGGCAGCCCTCTGGTCAAATTCGATTGCAAAATCTGCAACAAGCATTACGCGTCCGCTTCGGGCCTTCGCAGGCACAAGCTTAGTAAACACAACGACGCTGGTGTAGACTTATCGGTCTTGTGTGACATTTGTGGCAAACGTTTGTCCAGCAAGGAAAAACTAAAGTTCCATAGACGTATCCATACCGGGTACAAACCGTTCGCTTGCCAGGTGTGCTCTAAAGCGTTCACGAAAAAGGACCAGCTGATTGAGCACGTGAGGGTGCATACGGGGGAAAAACCGCATATTTGCAAGTATTGCGGGCGGGGTTTCACACAACGAACACCGTTGAAAATACATGAGAGAACGCATAGCGGTGAGAGGCCGTACGTGTGTGCTTGTTGCGGAAAAGGTTTCGTAACCAAAACGTCTGTCGATTCGCACATGAAAAGCTGCGGGGGTAATGTGGTGTCCGCTTTCGCGGCTACGTGGATGGGACACCCGTTCCAGCAAATGGGACAATCGTCCAAATATTATCCTTTGTAGAATAAGGATCGTTATTAGAGAGCAAATAAAATTCATCAAAACATACTTGAAATATGCACATATCTACGAGTATATATGCATTTTTATTACACATTATTATATGCAATACAGCGTTAAGGGAAATTAACTAAATGTCAATTAATTATCAATCTGCTATTACCGGAAACGACTTTACCAACTGGTACCGAACACATTTAATATTATCGGTCGGATAATTTTGAATTTAAGAAAACAGAAACCTATTCATATTCAGGGTGGTCCGAGCAGTATTCCGGAAACTTCGGCAGTATATTCCAGGGGCGGATACAGAAATTTATTTTAGGGGGGGCCCAAATAAAAAGTAATGTAGAATAATGCTGTTTAGAGCGCCATTTTTTACCAAAAAGGCTAATATTTAACCCAATTTATAAATTTTAGGGGGGGGGGGGCTCCGGGCCCCATGGGCCCCCCTCTCTATCCGCCACTGGTATATTCTGCAAATAAAAATATGTAAAAAAGTTCGTATAAATATATGTCCTAAAATGCTTAATTTCGGAGATACAGGGTGTAGAAGTTTCATTTTTATTTCAATTTTTTCCAAATAATTTCTGAAGTAACATAAATATTTCGCTGAAAATTGGTGTCTGGGTGTTTTTTGACATGAGAAATTTAATTTTAATGTCAATATTTACTCCTATTTGTAGGGGGCGCCACCTACATGTGTTTTAACTGTTTTGAGGAGTAATAATTTTTCGTCCGTACCTGTATAAAAGTACTGAGGGAAAAAATATACATTTCCGTGACTTTTTACGTAAAAAATGTCTCTTAAAATCGCTACGAGTAACCGTTCTCAAGATATTTAGAACGGAAATAGTCAATAGATGTCATTATTAACAAAAATTAAACACGTTGAGTAGATAGTTATTTGACTATAATAATAAATTCGGGAATTTTTTTTTAAATTAATCATAGTTTTTTCTTCAAAAAAAATCATAACTATTTAGTCAGCATGCATGTTTAATTTATGTCAATTATGACAGGTATTGATAATTTCTATTCCAAATATCTCGAGAACCGTTACTCGTAGAAAATTTTACCAAGAGACCTTTTTTACTTAAAAAATATCGTAAATGTACATTTTTTTACTCAGTAGTTTTATACAGGTACGGACAAAAAGTTATTACTCTTCAAACCAGTTAAAAATATAGGTGGCGCCCTCTACAAGTAGGAGTCATACTGACATCAAAATCAAATTTCTCATGTCAAAAAACTTCCAGACACCAATTTTCATCCAAATATTTACGTTACTTCATAAATTATTCGGAAAAAATCGAAACAAAAATGAAATATCTACACCCTGTATCTCCGAAACTAAACATTTTAGAACATGCATTTATACGAACTTTTTTACTTATTTTTATCTGCAAAATATGCTGCCGAAGTTTCCGGAATACAGTTCGGACCACCCTGTACATCTCTGCATAAAAATGTAAAGAAAATGTATATTATATGTAATTGTGCATATATCATCAGCTCTTTAATCATTTAAAAATCTAACTTGGTGACGGAGAAATTATACGATAATATGCTAAATATGTTATAATGCATTTCAAAGTGTTTTCTGGAAATATTTTTGAGGCGCTGTGCTTGAATAATATTAAGATTTTTGTAGGATATGTCTCTAATTGTTAAATGTCACGTTTTATATAACAATAACGATAATAATAGAACATGCTGAGTAATAAGATTTACAATGATGGGTTGGTTAATCAAAACCATAGTTCGAAAAGTATTTTGTAATACGACTTCCTGTAACAAGGTAGTATAACATAAATATATTCCAAATTTAAAGTTTATGTATATTTATATTTGTAAATTAATTTCATACGTAAATAAAAGTCATACTTGGCTATTTTTTTTCTTACTTGGTTTAGGTGAAATTTGACTTTGAAACCGCCCAAAAATGGTAGTATAATGTTAAGAAATTTAAAAAACATTACTTGAAAAAGTTGATTATTTGTAATTTTATATACAGGGTGTCCCACTTAAGATGGATACAAGCCAATATCTTGATTGTTTGTTGAGCGATTTTTTTCATTTTTGGCAGGATATATAATCGATTTAAGTTTTCAGATAGCATCCATAATAATTAAGATACAATACAAAAAAAACTAAATATTTTCAATTTATTTTGTTTACTTTAAAAAATTGTTTTTTAAGTTTGCTAATACAAATAAATAAAATGAGTTACAAAATAATTTAAAAAACAGTTTTCAATGGAATCTGAAATATGATTTTTATTCGTTTTATTGAGGAATATTTTAAAAAATCCAAATAGTTAGATATTTAAAACAATCACTATTAACTTTGAAAAATATGCTCTAAACAAAGATTTATAAAACAATAACGAACTAAAAGTCAACATCTTCGACCAAACCACAATAAAAAAAACATTATTAATTGATAATTGGTTATAATTGAAAAATGAACTTTTTCATTTGTCAACAAACAATCAAGATATTGGCTTGTATCCATCTTAAGTGGGACACCCTGTATTACAAATTTATAGCCATTAAGAGATGAAAAAAAGTAATTTTTAACCAAAAGCAACCGAAGATAGTCCATTTGTTGGTCAAATATATATTTAGTGGTCCTATATTTGATTAAATTTATTGCATCAATTAATTGTTTTTTTAAGAAAAATTAAATTTAATTGGAAAAATTAAACTTGACTGATACAAAGTACGGATAACTTCCCCATTTATCAAGATCACACTATTAAATTCGTAGTTATACATTCTGGGAACATATTTGCACATATGGCAGAATATAATTTTCATAGTTTATTTATAAAACTATTTTAGATTTTATTAAAATGAAACTAATATAAAAAATTGCTTAACTAACTTACTATTACAGCAGGCTTATTTTTATAGAAAATCAAAACTAAATAAAAAAAAATAATAAAAATTCATCTAAATGGTTGAAAATTGGTATACTCATTTGAAATGAATATAGCAACAACTTTTTCAAATCAAGTTTTGCAAAATCCAGCCAATAAACTCATTTTTAGCCTTTTATTAGACAGCAACGATCGCCAAATTCAAATTTTACCAAAGCAATAAATAAAAATGCCTGTAATCTATTGTAATCTTATTAGCCAGCATAATATTTAAGTATATGAATGAATAGTTTTTAATTTTATCTTTTAATGTTTGTTGTACAGTAGTTTTGTTTTGTTTATACAATTTTCAAATAGGTATTCAAGGGTATTTTTAGTTTTCCAGTATATTATTTGAATTTTAGATTATATAAAATAAACTAAATAATAATAACTTTTGGAAAGTCCTTCCATTGTTATTGATAATAAATAAGCCATAATTCCTATTATTACTTTTTAATTACGTTTAAAGCCTGAAGAATGTTCAGTAATAGAAATAGTAGAGCACCAATGGAAATGCTATTTCTACTCTTAACATTATTTTTGGTAATTACAACACATCTAAATTAGTTTTAATGTTTTATAATTGATTTATTCTTATTTAAGTAGTATATTTAGTTTAATGGGACTTACATTTTGCGGCATTAGTTACTAAATTATAATATAATTTTTTTATTTTTCAAAATTCAATAATTTATACGATTTCTACTGATATTTTTTCATTCGTACATACACGTGTTTATTACTCTCGTATCTCGTTATCTAGAACATTACTGATAAAGTTATGTACATAAATAAGGTGTAAAGATTTTTTTTTTAATTTTGAGATACTAATACAATCTAAATGAAATAATGTAGTATGTTACACTGGCAGTAGAAACCAATTATCTTTAAAATAATATATTTTTCTACATTATTTTTGAATATTGTTTTGAAACGTAATTTTTGGTTTATGTAAGTTTTATTTTCAATAAAAATTATATACATTCTTCTGAAATTATTATAATTTTTAATAAATGTGTTTGTAATTAATGCTTATTTTTTACTATCAAAATGATGTCAAATATTGTACTTAGTTAAAAATAGAAAAATAAAGTTGTTTTGGGGACCAGAATACTTTAAATTATATTTTTATTTTTCCTAATAAATTTCCAAGTTTGTAGGTGTACAGGGTGGGTCAAATTCGACGCTTTTAAATGGAAACGCCCTTTTCTATAGGAGATAGACGAAAACTAATATCGGTGTCTGGAGCTCAATTTTCATCAAAAACATGATGGTGAAAACCGCACATCAATATCTGTTACCGTTTCGGAGTTACGGGGTGTTTTTAAAAAAATGTGCATTTTTAACAAACTGTAACTTTTTTGCTATGGAAAATTTTGTATTTCTATGAAAACATTTCCAAAGCACCTTTTTACGTAGAATTTAATGGTTTAAGTATAGTTTTTTTAAAATTAATAATTTAAGAGTTATCAACAGAAAAATTTATTTTTAATTTGGGACACCCTCTATATTTTTATTTAACTGTAAAGAATTTAAAATTACCTTTCCAAAAATATAGCACACTTGATATTTTGTTATAAGCCCCTTCGAAATACAGAATTTTTAAAAGTTCGCCACTTTTAACTAGTAGGCTTTGGACCCCTTATTGCTGATATGCCCTTAATGGAACTCGAAAACATATTTTTCCAGCAAGACGACGCACCGCCTCTGAACGCTGAAGTTATCAGCAATTTTTGCAGCCAATTTCAAGAATAATTGACTAGCTTACCAAGATCCCAGCCGTTGGCCGTCGAGGCCGCCTGACTTAGTGCCCATGGATCTAATCCTATGGATATATTTGTGGAAGAATAAAGGTTCCTTATTCCGTATAATTTAGACAAGAATTAGAAATACTTAGCAGTTATGAGAGAGTATCTTTCACCCCTGCTGAGTTAATGAATTCCTCGAGAAATGTTCAAAAACTGCCCTGTCTATCCCTAACAGAAGACGGTTAATATGTCGAACACCTGTAGCAAATCTCATGTCTTGGTTTGCTATTTATTTTTATTGTTATTAGATATAGTTTAAATGTGTTGATGTTGGTTAAATATATTTTAAATTGTTATAAAATTCTGCATCTCTCATAACAAATATTATTTTCGTTTTAATTGATTATGATGAGCTTGAATTTTTTGCATTATAGCCGGTGCCGTTCAAAGCCTACTTATTTAAAGCGGGCAAATTTTTATATACTCTATATTTCGAAGAGGAATCGAGCAAAATATCAAGTGTGTTATATTTTTGGAAAGGTAATTTTAAATTCTTTTCAATAAACTAAAAATATACAGGGTGTCCCATATAAAAATCAAATTTTCTGTTGATAATTCTTAAATTATTAATTTTAAAAAATTATACTTTAACCATTAAATTCTACGTAAAAGGTACTTTGGAAATGTTTTCATAAAAATAGAAAATTTTCCATAGCAAAACAGCGATTTATTAAAAATGCATATTTTTGAAAAACACCCCGTAACTCCGAAACGGTAACAGATATCGATATGCGGTTTTCACCATCATGTTTTTGACAAAAATTGAGCTCCAGACACCGATATTAGTTTTTGTCTATCTCCTATAGAAAAGGGTGTTTCCATTTAAAAGCGTCGAATTTGACCCACCCTGTACATGGGTGTTTTTATTAAATTCATGTACCGGTAAAACTGTTAAGTTAAACCTTAAAGTTTTATATACAGTGTGTATTCCCAAGAGGAAAATCATTTTTATTAACTTTTTGTCAAAAATGCTTGTTCTAATACGGTTAATCCCGTTGACACTTACTAAAATATGTTAATAAAAAGTTGGTAGGCAGTTCTTTTAGTTTCAATTATCTCGAAAACTGCGATTTTAACTGATTTTGATGTTATTACAAATTTTGTTGCAAATATTATACCTAATCTTAAATTGAAAACCGCGTTTCGCTAGCTACTGTAATTTTGGAGTTACGATTTTTTAAAATCTAATTATATATAACAGTCAAAACGCGTTTCTATGGTAATATCATTTGGGTTTCGTTCTTTGGTAGATAGTTATTATTAATTTTGATTAACGTCATTTTTTTCCTGTTTTAATATGTGCTAGAAGCAAAAATAGCTTAGGCTTCTTAATTTTTTGCTGTTTTAAAATGTTAATTAAAACAGCAAAAAATATGACGTTAATCAAAATTAATAACAACCATCTATCAAAAAAAAAAACGAAAAAGAAATGATATCACCATATTTTTATTTTTTCTAAACCGGTATAAAAATTTGGGTAAACGGTATAATAACTAACTAGGTATAAACAATAAAAAGTATAAAGGGGATTAATCATTTTAGAACAAGCAAAAAATTTTATAAAGAATGCATTTTTCTCATAAAGTTCGTTATAAAAAAGTTTTTCCTCTTGTAAAGACAATCCGGGAAATTTCAGCATAATAAAAATATATGTTTTATTATTATATCATAATAATTTGTAGAATTAAACAAAATAATAAATTTGTAAAAATTTCCTTAGTCCTACTCTGCCTAGTACTCCATCATGCGGCAACTACTGTGTTCGGCTTGCAGCCCCTATCGACGCGTGAGATCATAATGCGCATTCGTGCAACGTTGCCAACGACTCGCCGCATGATTTTTAATAAGGCAGCTTGTTTATCGATTTGCACTTTAACCACTAAACAATCAACGTAATTTTATTTAAACTGCATTATCAAAATTACATTTTGACGATTACTGCTTATAACTCGTTAATACCTTCGAAAACTCGAACTGAAAGCCGCCGGAAATCGAACGTCCCGCGTCGCTAGCGGCGACGCTTGGCAACGCCTTCTAAGATGGCGAAATACCGAGTGTTGTGATGATAGGCGGCTTCGACGATCGCTAACCCTAGCCGATCGAAACAGTTTTAGTTGTCTTGTGGTGGGTGATCCGGTGTTGGAAAAAGTGATTGTATTTGTGGAAAATTACAAATGGAGGTGGCAAAGTAAGTACTTTCTTTGTTTTTGTCGCATCGATATCCGCTCGGGCTTTTAATCTTGTATCCATGCCGTTCGCAGTCATGCGCTTTCAGTACGATAGGTGTTGGGGGGCGGAGGGTATCCCCCTGTGCTTTCAATGTATCGTACACCCGGTAGAAGAGGTGGAAAAGAGAAAAATCAATAGGGTGTTTTCGGTTTGTTAAGTAGATACAGGACCGGAATATACTACGTATCCTACTACTGTAAAATAATTCGATTGTTTACTGTACTTCAAAAGCATGCATTTTTTATTATTATGTCGTGTGTACCTACTTATCTTAAGCTAACAATAAAGCACGTGTGCTTATTTCTTATTTTTTAATAATGAAATACTATAATAAATAAATGTACTTATCTATTTTGGTAATTTTAAGTAGATAAGTTAGCCTGCTTTTGAAAAACAGTGGTATTTATTTTATAATAGGTATGGCATCTAAATCTAATTAATATACACTCGGGCATTTTATGATTTTCATGTATGTATATTAAAGTTTTATACTTTATGTTCTAGTGGGCCGATTTTCATTATTTTTAACCAATTTGTAGCTAAATTATTTGACTTTTTAATAGTTCTTTCTAAATTAAAAATTAAAGTTGCCATCTGTCAATCATAGGAGGGAAAACATAAGGTTGATATTTTGGTGAATGTTTGAAACACTCTGTGGAGTATATTAACAAAGCAAGTAATTTAAAAATCATTTTATCATCTAGGTGTATCTTTTCTCGATAGTTTGTTTTTTGGTTCATCTCAATAGTTTCATTTTGTTTGGAGATATTTGATTTTCAAGAAGACACTTTCGTATTTTTTACATTAAAACTTAACTCTATGATTAAAACCATGCATTTGCTTTTGGTCCTAGTCCAACAGACCTATAAAATAGTGTTTACGATTTATTATAAAATAGTGTTTACGATTTATGTAATATCGATCTTTGAAAAACCTATTAAAATTAAATATATTGTCTGTTGTCTGTTGAAATATTATTATCTGTTGGGCAGTTACTCTAGTAGAGATAGTTTTAAGAAGTCGAAAAATTGATCTGTACCATGATCAATTAAAGCAGCAATAGCCGATACTTCAGAACTTAAAACCATCTCTAGTAAAATAAACGTCAATAAACATTTATAATATGACTTTTCAATGACAGTGTCAATAAGTGTGTTCATTGCTAAAATTGCTGTAAATTACTGTTTTATTATTAGTCGAAAGCAAATATCTTCAAAAAATAAAGCTATTGAGACGATTAAAAAAAAGAAACTATCGAGAAAAGACATACCAAGATGATAAATTGATTTTTAGATTCCTTGCTTTGTTAATATATGACACAGGGTGTTTAAAACTTTTACAAACGTATCAACGTTTTGTTTTCTCTTTTTAATTGACGAATGTGAACTTTCATTTTTAATTTAGAAAGACACACAAAAAAGCCAAATAATTTAGCTACATATTGCTTAAAAAGTCATCAAAATCGGTTGACTAGATCAAAATATATTGAACTTTATAAAATACATAAAAATTTAAGGTGGACGTTTTTCGTGACGGCGACTGGTAGGTGCATACATTTCAATTGTGTGCAATTTAATTTATTATTTTTTTAATAAGCAATAAATATTAACACATTTTGGTCATGGTTAATTCTTATTTCCTTTTATATGTTGTCTAATATTTGTAAATGTAAAAAGGTTAAAGTAGGTACCTATAATATCAGTTGAACATAATATAAAATGAATTATGCTAAATTTTATTGATGGCAATAAAACTTAATATCTAGCCAGGTATAAACTATTGTTAATGCACATAATATTTTTAATTTTATAATAATACCGTACTTTCTTCTTTTTCAACTTATTGCTGAATAATGAAGTAGGTATTTCGCAATTTCCGAAACTATTTCCATTAATTTTCAAATTTATGATGATAAACCAGCTTTTAGCTTCCCCCGTTATATTTTATTTTAAATTTAATTTCATCAGTGCCTGTGGTCCAAATTTTCCAAATATTATACCGTGTGGTCAAAAAGTTTTATGACCATGATGGCATGATATGTAATTGTGTCATCAAAGCATCATATTTTTTTCTATTAGTAAGTTCCTTTATTATTAAATAACTTTAAAGTTTAAGATTTGAAAATTAATTTTATTAAATTTTACATTTTTCACGGATTATTAGAAAATGTGAAAAATTTGGTACTTAACTTTTTCTGTGAAGTTAGTGAGCTAGTGATAGCTTAGCAGCTTTAATTAATGAGTGAGGAACTACTACCTATATCGGCATATTGAAAACGAAAAAATATTCTGTTTTATGAGTACCGAAATGCTTGTAAAATCTGGTTATCACATTTTGGGTCACTTGATCGATAAAATAATACAATGAGACTGAGATAGAAAACAGGCCTAAATATTGAATATTCCTCAGCGAAAAGCTTACTACAAGCAACAGATGTATTGGTTTAGCAAAAGACATCCTTTTCTATACAGGGTTGTTCACCACATACGACACGGAGTATTGTAGCTAAACGATTATATTTTTGCAAATTTCAAGTTTTGGGTTCGATGAAGGACTATTAGAGGTACAATTTAAAAATAATTTACAAGATACAGAGTGTCCCAAATAAGTAAAAAATATCAAGTTGTATTTTTTTAAATGGAACACCCTGTATATTATTACATTTTTAGTTTCTACGATTAAAATAAAGGTAAATTTGATTAAGGTTAATGATACTTAAACCTTACCGTTTTTGAAATATTTTCAATTTTGTGAAATTGCAGTAAACATTTTAAGGCTTCATTTCTCCAAGGGTATCAAAGTTTTTAATACTAAATATTTACTGAAGTTTATTTATTGATCAGTTATTGTGTTGCAATAATAAAAATAATACAACCTTATACAGAGTGTCTAAAAATTTATTTTAAATAATTATTAGCTTCAAACGGCAATAACTTGTTTAATTTAAATGGAACGCCCTGTAATTTTAGGAGAATCAGATGCACAATTTAATTGTCTATCAAATTGTATTACACCATTTTTACCTATCCCTTCAAGTTTTCGTAGAAAATGCATTTTCTTATAATTTAGACCTCATTCATCAATATACCCATGGAATATTGGCATTTTATTATTGACACCCATAGAATATTGACATCATATATTGACATTCTAGTAACATTATCGTTTTGCTAAAAACAATAATGTTGTATGCAAAAAGAAAACTATTTAAATCTTTATAAAAGAATATACCATTAATTAAATATAGCACCGCCCATATACTAATTAATTACATACTTAATTGTATTCGTTAATAAATTATTCTAAATAAATGTGGATTTGAGTCAGAAATCAATATAATAATAAGTTATCAAAATTAAAGTCTCTGTTGTTATAAATAAGCATTTATTAAAAAATGAAATATCATTTTTAAGGTGTTAGTTTTTATCACACTGTCTAATACCCATACAAAATTCAGTTTTTTTAGTATTTGGAACAATTATTATTAATCAATGCAGTCAGTTAATGCAGTTTGAATACTGGAATCATATTAATTGGCCCTCTTTAACAAATATTTAAACAGTTTTTTTTATTTTTTAATGAAATAAACGAATTATATCCAAAATATTAGTATCTGTACTCTTTAAAAATTTGGTACATCTTTAAAAATAATCTAAAATGTCAATATTCCATGGGTATATTGATAAATAAAATCTAAATTACAAGAAAATGCATTTTCTACGGAAACTTAAAGAGGTAGGTAAAAAATGGTATAATATAATTTGATAGACAATTAAATTGTGCATCTGATTCTCGTAAAATATATAGGGTGTTCCATTTAACTTAAACACGTTATTGCCGTTTGAAGGTAATAATTATTTAAAATAAATTTTTAGACACTCTGTATAAGGTAGTATTATTTTTATTATTGCAACACAATAACTGATCAATAAATAAACTTCAGTAAATATTTGTATTAAAAACTTTGGTACCCCTTGGAGAAATGAAGCCTTAACATTTTTACTGCAATTTCACAAAATTGAAAATATTTCAAAAACGGTAAGGTTTAAGTATAATAAACCTTAATCAAATTTACCTTTATTTTAATCGTAGAAACTAAAAATGCAATAATATACAGGGTGGTCCATTTAAAAAAATACAACTTTGATATTTTTTACTTATTTGGGACACTCTGTATCTTGTAAAATTATTTTTAAATTGTACCTCTAATAGTCCTTCATCGAACCCAAGACTTACAATTTGTAAAAATCTCATCGTTTAACTACAATACTCCGTGTCGTATGTGGTGAACAACCCCTGTATAGGTACCTATACAATATTATGTTTGCGTTACATCTTATAATTATTGTGATGTGGCAATTATTGTAAAATAATTCTCAATATATTGAAAAACTCAAAAAGGATGTATTTTCGCAGAAAACGTAATATTCGAAAAGACATCCAAGTAGATGATGCTAACACGGTTAGCAAAATGGTTAGCGAAACGCGTGTTCATTGTTAAAAGGATTAAAGTGTTTTGGTGTATTGTGGTGAATTACTTAATGTTTTATTTTGCTGACACTTAAGAATACCAATTAGAATAACGGACTTGTTTCAGTGATTTAAAGAAATAATAAAGAATCGGCTTAGCTAGGGAGCCCGTAAAATAAAATTAAATGCATTTTTTGTTTTCAATGCCAAATAATTGCAGCAACGTCGGTAATCCAAAAAAAAATTTAGTTTTTAAACTTTATTTCTGAGCGGTGAAGAAAATTTATTGAACCTTTTATTTTTTTAGATTAACTTTTTTTTGTCACATGAAGTTTTCTTCCAAAAACTGAGGATACGTAAAGTCCGAGAGTATTCTGAGTAACATTTTATTTGATACTTTTTCATATCTCATCATTAAGGCAAGAGAAAATGCAAACAAAAAAGATAATATGCGCATTTAAATGCACCAAATTTTGTCAAAATATGAAT